TTGTTCCGTTACCTAATCTTTGAATGTTTTTTTTTTTGCGATTTTTTACGTATGCGATCTTGTAGTATCTACAAATATGTTTGACGGTTAGATCATTGAAAATAGTTTCGTAGAATGCATATCTCCGTTAAATTTGCCTAAATTTTGAAGTGTGAAAAGTAATTTGTGATAAATTTTTATTTATGTTTTTCAAGTATTGATTAGATAATATTTAGTTTTTGTGATGACATTTTCATTGTACAATTATCTTTTTTTTTTCTTTATTGCATATTTTACATGGAACCAAACAATTATTTATTTAATTTTTAAAAACGTATTCTATTTAAATAAATATTATTTATTTATTTATTTATTTATTAAACCAAACAATTATTATTTTATTTTTTTAAATCATAACAAAATTTTGGGGGGAATTTTGCTGCTATTTTGTTTCTGTCGGCTATAACCGACAGTAATGAAAATTTTTTGTCGGTTTTTATTTAAAAAAAATGTTTTTGTCGGTTTTTATTTAAAAAAAATGTTTTTGTCGGTTTTAACTGACCATAATGAAAATTTTCCAAAATAAAACCCCTCCAACTCTTCCTTTTGCTAGTGCTTCTCCCTTCCCCCTTTTCTCATTTCCTTCTTATTCTCTTCTCCCCTTCTTTTTCTCACTTCAATCACCATGGATGAACAAGGCAGAAGTAATGCAAGTCCTTGAGCACAAAGACAAGCAAAGCGTTGTAAGTCCTTCCACATGCTTCCACCTATGATTTAATTTATGTTTTTGTTGGAAATGAAATTCCTGCAAGGTTTTCAGTTCTTCGAGTCAACACTCTTCTTATAAAAACATAGGAATTCCTCCAGGATCAGAATACAATTATACAAGGTTGGTGATTAATATTACTTGAAAGATACAGTTTTGGACGTGGTTTAATTCCATAAAGCAGTGGAATTTGTGTGTTTAATGCTTGCGGCTACCTTGGCAGCTGCAATAGTAATAATAGGCCCCTGCTGTGCAAATGTTTGCCAAGTTTCAAGCCCCAGTATCTACAGCAGTGGAATTCTGGAGACTTTTCAAGTGAATGCATAAGAGACTCTGCATTATGTGGCAACAACAAGAATGATACCTTCTTGAGCTTGAAGAAGATGAAAGTGGGAAACGCACATTCACAAATCAATGTTGAAAATGAAACAGAATGCAAGAACAGGTGCTTAAATAGCTGTAAGTGCAAGGCCTATTCATATGCTAAATCTGGAGAGTATAGTATCTTCTGTCTTGAAGAATTGAAGAGCATGGTGTACCTTATTAGCTCAATCTGGTTTGCTCATTAGCTGCAAAATCTGGTTCAAGAATGCTCAACGAGAACGAGCAGGAGAAGGGAGAATGCTCTCATGTCCTTTTCATATATTTTTTTTATTATTAATATATTTTCTGTCAGTTTTATCCGACAGAGAATGCTCTTATTTATTGATTATTATTTTTTTTTCTGTCGGTTTTAATTTATTCTCTGTCGATTATATCCAACACAATTTCTGGCAGTTACATCCGACACAATTTCTGGCGGTTATATCCGACACAATTTCTGTCGGTTTTAGAGCATTTTCTGTTGAAAAATTCATTTCCTGACGCTGGCAAATCTGTCGCTTTTTATATCCGCCACTGCATCCATTTTCTGTCGGATTTTGTTTAATATCCAACAGTAATACACGTTTCTTGTTGGTTATCATAACAACACTAATAAATGGTTTTGTAGTAATGCAATAATACCCGAGAAACACTCAGACAGAAATTAAGGCGACTTGCAAGAAACCAAGAATGGTGGCTTTCATCACCAAACCACTAGCCATCGATTCCAATATCTTGATGTTCTTAGACATGGATCTAGAAGATGTCCACTGGCCCCATGTTGATGCCTTCGTCATCAAAATACAAATCTCTAACGCCCTAGTAAGTAGCATTTTGGTCGACAACAGCTCATGTGTTAGTTTATTCTTTGATGATGCCGCTGAAAAGATGAAGATTCTTGACAATGTCAACAAGGGGAAGACGACCATTTACACCTTCAATGGAACCCTAGTTTGGTTTTTGGGAACAATAAAACTAGCGGTCCAAGCAGAAACAAATAAAAAAATTTCTTAAACAAAGGACTCAAAGGGACAAACAAAAATTGTATACATTCAGCACAAAGGGCTACCAACGCCGCACACTAAAGCTCCAAAAATTTATGACCAGCGTTTCCTGAAAGCAAAAACCAAATCAAATTAGGCAACTCCATGCAAGATCGAAGCACACATACATAACCTTCAAAATCATAAGAAAAAGAAAATTCAAACACAAATCCACCTGCAAATTGAAAACCACAAAAAAGAAATTAAGTTAAGCACACTGAAAATGACCTCAAAATCATCAGAAGACACTAGATCACGCAAGGAAAAAAATGAATTTCGATGAAATCGAAAATGGCAAAAACTTGTAGCCAGCTAAGGGTTTCAAACCAAAGAAATTTTTAGGAATAAAAGATTACTCCAGCAACAAAAACGGCACCAGCTGATCGCTGAGACAAAGATGAAAACAATAGACAACATGAAAAGGGGCAATGCAAGAAAGGAAGAAACCCAGGTCTGAATTGAAGCAAAATGCTATGAAAGAGCGAAAGAAACACGAAAGAAAAGGTGGAGAAGAAGTCGAAGGTAGCGATGATAGATGCATGGCCAACAAGGGCAAAACTAACTTTCCACTGGAAAAAAGAAAGGAAACAGCATGGGAAGCACAGAGAAACCAAGAGCATTCGCCCGCACACTATTAATGAACAATGTCGTCCCCCATCTGGGTTTTAGTATATATAATATTTTTTTTTTGACAAACGATATTATCTACACTAGGAAGAATGGTGGTTTTAGCCTCACAATGGACTAGCAATAATGTGGTTTGAATTCGCTTTTGGCGAGAATCGAACCTAAGACATTTCACTTACAAGTGAAGAGGAATACCACTAGACCGTAATCCTAATTGACTCTATTAGTATTAATTAAATTAACTAATCCAATATCTATCTATATATATAAAGCCAATGGAAAAGGTGAATAGCGATTTTGGTGTCATCAAGCTTCAACAAAAATATTTGGACAAAAATGCCCCCAATACAAAAAACTTCAAAGGAATTCCAAAATAATGCATCAAATAAGGCATGGGCTTTTTCGTCATTTGAACATTATTTTTTTTAATAATTAATTTTTTTGTGGTTTTATTTATTTATTTTTAATTAGTACCTCATAATAGGATACCAATAATATGATTTAATTTCTTTATTTTTAAACATGTTCAAAACATTTTAAGAGGTGTGTAATGTCGATTATAAAAAAAGTCATTCACATGTGGATAATAATATAATTAAATTAGTTGTCAAATGATTTTTTTTATTTTATTTTAACAAACGATATTATCTACACTAAGGGGGAGGGAGTGAGCTTAGTCTTACAATTGGCTAGCAATAATGTGATTCAATCAATTGTTTATTAAATATTATTTTCTCTATTTTAAACACGTTCAAAACATCTTAAGAGGCATGTAATGCCGATTATAAAAGAAAGTCTTTCACAAGCGGATAATAATGTAATTAAATTAGTTGTCAAATGATTGTTTTTCTTTTTTAACAAACTATATTATCTACACTGAAGGGGAAGAGGTGGGCTTAGCCTTACAATAGGCTAACAATAATGTGATTCAATCAGTTGTTTATTAAATATTGTTTTCTTTATTTTTACACACGTTTAAAACATCTTAAGAGGCATGTAATGCCGGCTATAAAAAAAAGGTCTTTCGCATGTGGATAATAATGTGATTAAATTACATTAAATTAGTTGTCAAATGATTGTTTTTTTTTTTTTAACAAATGATATTATCTACACTAAGAGGGAGGGGGTGGGTTTAGGCTCACAATAATGTGATTCAATCTGTTGTTTTTGTCATTTTAATAGTATTTTGATAATAATTAATTTTTTTGTGGTTTGTTTGTTTTTTATTAATTAGTGTCTCACAATGGGTTAGCAATAATGTGATTCAATTTTTCTATTTTTAAACACGCTTAAAACATCTTAAGAGGCGTTTAAAACATCTTAGCCTCACAATAGAATAACAATAATGTGATTCAATCAGTTGTTTATTAAATATTATTTTTTCTATTTTTAAACACATTCAAAACATCTTAAGAGGCGTGTAATGCCGATTATGAAAAAGATCTTTCACACGCAGATAATAATGTGATTAAATTACATTAAATTAGTTGTCAAATGATTGTTTTATTTTATTTTAACAAACGATATTATCTACACTAAAGGGAAGGAGGTGGGCTTAGCCTCACAATAGGCTAGCAAGAATGTGATTCAATCAGTTGTTTATTAAATATTATTTTCTCTATTTTTAAACACGTTCAAAAAAATATTAAGAGATGTGTAATGCCCGGGTATAAAAAGATCTTTCGCACGTGGATAATAATGTGATTAAATTAGTTGTCAAATGATTGTTTTTTTTTTACAAACAATATTATTTACACTAAAGGGGAGGGGGTGTGCTTAGTCTCACAATGGGTTAGCAATAATATGATTCAATCAATTTTTTATTAAATATTATTTTCTCTATTCTTAATGTAAATTCTATATAGACCGATTTTATTATGTGAATTCAGCTGCTTTAATTGGTTTACGAGAGGTTTCATCTAGCATGATCTAAGATTATTCATTTACTTCAAATATTTGACTTTTCTTTTATTAATTTACGCATACAAATACATTTAAAATATATAAATCGTGTGAAGTACACCGTAATTAAAAAAATGTCTTATGCTTGAATAAGGCAATTCAGCAGTGCTAGACGGCTAAGGTTCTCCCTGTTTGGTAGACCAGGGTACTTTGGTAGTGCCAAACGGATGTCGTATTCTCAAAACCACCAAAAACGACGTCGTGTACCTGGTGGATAGCCTTCGAAAGTTCGAAGGCACGCCGATGAAGCAGATGGCGAGGTAAGGTTTCATTTCGATCAATCTTTCGAACTTCCATTCTCACGAAAGCGCGTGGATTCAATCGGCAATGGAGGAAGAAGACAAACAGCCGCTCAAGGAGGACAAGGGTCCTCAACAGGAAGAGAAAGAAGAACCAAAAGGAGGAGCAGCTGAAGCACAAGTGTCGCCGGCGAAAAGTGGCGGAGGATGGGGAGGTTGGGCGTTTTCGTCCGTCTTCTCAGATCTCCAGAAAGCCGCCGAAGAGATCTCCCGCAATGTAAGTGTCTCCAGCGTTTCATAAATGTATTTGCATCTGCATTTGCATGGTAAGTTTACCTGATTTGGTGTGCTTTGGAAAATTAGGGTTTATAAGTTTGGGAAATGTTGATGAGTGGATATACTTTCTGGTGGGTTTAGATGATATCGGATTTAATTAACTGTTTCGACTGCGAATCTGAAAGTAGGTTTAAGCTATTAAGAATTTAGTGACGTTATCCAATTGAAAGTTATAAAATATGCAGAGATTTATGTATGTAGTTAAAATGGAAGAATTTAGGGTTGCTGCATTTTGTGGTTCGGTTTGTGAAGTGGCGGTTTTTGGATGCAGGCGGCTGCGGCTGCTCAGACGGCAGCGAAGAGCCTTGCCGACATGCAAGCTGCTGAGGACTCAGAAGAATGTTCCAAGGAGGAAGAAGGGGATGCTGAAAAGGAAACCCAAGACGACACTGAGAGCCAAGATGAGCATGAAAAGCAAAGAAAGGCTGCTCTTGATAAATTGGAGAAAGCTAGTGAGGATTCACTTTTCGGTCAGGCAAGTTGTAAATTTATGGAGTTGATACCTCTTTTTTATATATCTGCAAGTCGTTTGTGTTAATGCATTCACGCCAATCATATATTCATGAAGTTTGTTATGCTAAGTTCGTCATGTTTTCATTCCGTTTGTTTCTTATGTTGTACTTATTAATCATACGTCTAGCTATTGCTACGCTAATGCAAATTTTACAAGAACCACATCTACTTCTATACAGTCTCAAATTGATTTAGGATAATTTAACACCAACTCTTTCTGTTGCACTAGATTGGAGGTGTTTGTATCTTGAATTTTGCTTCAATCCTCTAAAGCTGATGCCTTCCTTTTGTTCTCCACTTAACATGCTAATTTTCATTACTTTCAGGGTTTGAAAGTGCTTGATAGTTCCGTGGAGAATTTTGCTACAGGAGCTTGGCAAGCATTAGGAAGTGCATTGAAAGGGGGTACTGATCTAGTGCACAAGTATGTTACACTGGAGTTGAATGTACTAGTATTTTTGCGGATTTTCTCTGGACCAAAATTTAGTAATTAGCAGATGGCTACAGTCCACATGATTTCTCTTGTTTCTCGGGAAACTAACGAATTAGTAATCTGATAGTGGACTATTGGGCTCAAGATTCTAAGTTCCAACTTCTAACATAGATTATGGAGTTGATATATTTGTGCAAAGTGCGAAATCCAAATTAGAAACACAAACTTGACCTGACTTTCAACTTCTTGTTCTCTAGGATTGAGAATTCTGCTGTGAACCTTGCGGGATCTATCCAGCAAGGTGGAGGTGCTGGTTCTACCACACCATCCTTATTAGAGGTTTGCGTTCCCCTGCTACTTTTTTGGTTAACTAATGGTACATCATTGCTTATCTTGGTTTCGTGTACAGACTGGAAAAGCTTTTACATCAAAGGGAATGCAAGTGCTTGAGCTTGTAGGAAAGGAAACTTTGGATCTACTGATCACAGAGACTGGTATAGAAGTTGATAAGGATTCTACACTTTCTGAAAAGGAAACTGAAGAGGATCAGTTATATGAGGAAGTGGGATTTGATCGGTGTTTCTACATATATGGAGGTCCAGAACAGTTGGAGGTCAGTTATTTAATTTTGAGGTTAAATATTGTTATTGTAGGGAATAAAATGTATTAAAGTTGTTATTTTGTATCACTGTCAGGAACTGGAGGCTTTGTCCAGCCATTATGCGCTATTATTTAATCGGAGAAAAGGAAAATTGTCATCAGAACAGAAGTCTATTTATGATGGAAAGCTTAAACAGGTGCAACAGATTTTCAGTCTGAATATTGAGTTGGATGGAAGTGGTGCAGAGTCGGACAAAGGCAAAAAGAAAAAGACCGGAGATGATGGAAATATCAATGAGATGAAGAGTTTGCATGATTCAAGCGTCAGCAAGGCTGCTGATATGGCGGCTGGGTACTATATTTTGTTCAATTTCTATTTTTATTGTCTTGTCTTTTTCTTTTTATAGATTATTTGCTTCAATGAATGGCTGTTTAATTCTATTGACTTTCATCTGATTTTCGTAAATACTATATACTGATCTTCAAGCTTTTATAAATCTACTGGCCAATCAATATTCTTTTATTGCCTTACTTTTGTTGCTCCATTACCCTCTTTTTATCCACTCAATTTACAAACAAACAACTACGTTTACACTAAAGCCAACATCTGATTACAGCAATTGTAAAACTTGCTGTTCTTGCATCTGTCTGAGTTACATTGAGACAATTTTGCCAAGCCACTGTTGATGATGTGTCCTTTCCCTGCCCACTGTCCTTGTCAATCTGAATTGATTGGAGATCTGAGGCTTCGCTCTAAATGATTTCAAAATTAATTTCTTTATAATCGTGTGCTTATAGAGATGTGTGCATGTCCATATAGATCATATTGCTCCCAACATTGCATCAGACTTGAAATGCATGATACTCTCAGAAAATAAATATCTTTTAAGGGTGGGACTGGTGGCAGGGGAGTCCTATGAAAAGTTATTGCTGGGTGCTGATATGTCCAATTTCAAAACCGGATTGCATTTTAATCAGCCTTCTCACTGTACATATTTTTTTTGCAATTTCAACAGCGTCCAATTAAAAGAAATGGAGTCGTTTGTTCCTCATGAATTTGTGATCTTGGTTGACATATTGCTGTAAAAACATGTGTGGTCTTCTATGCTTCCTTATTTTTGTTTATTTTTACACCATGCATTGTTACTATGACTTTAAATTTTTCTTCTTATGTTCTTTTTAGGTTCACAAGTGCCTTAGCAGGACAAGCTGTGAACGATATAATTCAAAGAACAACTGGTAGATTAGAGAGTCTTCACTCAGAGGGGGTTCATGTACGTGATTATCTTCTGTTACTGTATTATTCCATCGGCATTTTTATAGACATGGGTTCAATAGTTCTGACGTAATCATATTTTTGCAGAGGCTGTCAGAATTGTGCTGTTCAGCGGTATCTCAACTGTTGATGCTTGGTAAATCCGTCATATCTAGTGCAAACAAAACTCAGGCAGAAGATGTGGATGCCGATCTGGAGAATATTGATTGGCCTGAAGATTCTGTTGAGAAAGCAAAGATAATCAGATCAAAAACACAAACAATGACAGGATATGTGGAGGCAGTGTCTAGCAGTTTCGTCACAGGTTAATTTCCTTGAGCTCTGTTTAGTGCTGCTTATGCTCATAATTGACTACCCTTTTCCTAGTTGAAAATATGCCATTACAATTAATATACTCTCAGATCTAATCACTTATTGTTACTTAATTGATCAATGGTAGAGTGGTTAGCCTTTTTTTTTTTTTTTTTTTTTTTTTTTGTGTGTGTGTGTCAAGAAGAGTGGTTAGCTATTAGGTGACTAGTTTGTTGTACAATTGGGAAGATAATCCACATGGAGACAGCAACATTTGAACCCGAATATATTATTGTTTGGGGGCCTAATTCCTAAGTTCCCCAACTCCTAAAGCTTCATGTCTTTTCTCTGTGCTTTTACACTGACTTCTTAGGGCTGGTTTGGTATTGCTGTGCTTTGAAAAAAAGCTGCTTCTGCTGTGCTGTGAGAATAAGCAGCTGTGAAATAAAGCAGCAGAGTGTTTGGTAAACTTTTTTGTAAAAGTGCTTTTGAAAAAAAAAAGCAGTATTATAGTGTTTGGTAAACTTTTATGTAAAACAGATGTGAAAAAAAGCCAGTTTTTCAAAGCTGGGTTTTGCAGCTTCTTGTTTTTGGCTTTTTTTCACCCAAAACTGTGAAAAAAAGCTGAAGCTGAATGTTTACCAAACACATAAACAGCTCCCAGCTTTTTTTGATACCAGCTTTTTTCAGAATCACCTTAGTACCAAACTAGGCCTTAATGATTCCATTTCATAGTGGATTAATTAAACCTATCAATACCCCGCACACCTGAGCTCTTCAATGTCTTTTTATGTAGCAAATATATTTGTGTTGACAGTTTGAGTTTTGATGAACTTTTCAGGTATATCTGATGTTGCAGAAGCTTATCTAGCAGCCATAAAGGGCGCTTCTGAGGAATCCCACGAAGTGCTCCCACATACATCGATCCAAGAAAAAGCAAGTTCTTTCTCTAAACACCTTCGTGATGACCAGACCACAGCTTTGAGCAAAATCCAGGATGGGCTACACTACTTGTCGTACGTTGTCATTTCAACCTCTATGCCTGCAGCGTGAGAGACCTCAAATCTTTAAGCTCTCTGTTTAGTTTTGTAAATAGTCGGCATTTAGAGTGAGTTTAAGTTTTCACATCGTTTCAAGTGTTATACGAAATTGAAGTTCTTAGAACTGTAAAACAATCAGCAACTTGTAACAATAAGGTAGAAATTATACGTTTGCATTAATTAAAGTTTTGTTGATTTAATTTCTAGTAAGAATCTATCAATCATGAAAGAGATTTTGTTAACGCGCCGGATAATATAAAGTCCAAATTAGTTTGGTTTGCTTGTGATGGCAAGATTTTGTAGTAATGGAAAGCTTGATGAACATGATTGCAAAAACCGTGGTTATATCACCACGTGATGTTCCGTGCCATTGATACAAAGACGTGGAAAGGAAATTTATACATTTTTATTTCATTGACACGGTATGTCAGGATAGTGGTGCATCCGTGCCATGTAAGTCATTATGCACTCGCATTGTGGCCACATTTGTAATCGATCTTTGGCCAAATAAACTTGAATGCCTAAAATGATCCTTTCACTAATGTAAATGACAAAGCATTTGGGATAATTTAGATTTTTCTACACCACATTATTGAATTTGACATATGACCCCACTACAAGGATGCTTAGTGCAATTTAACATGACGTTGGATGACATGTTAAGATCAGTTGCACATCGCTTAGGTAATTTTTAGATTTTGATACGTATGTAGGTTCACAATGCATTGATATTTGTACGTGTCCACTAGTATCCTCCACACTCCTCTTCTTAATTTTACTCAGACTAATCTATCAATTATTAGTACGTCTTCGTCATTCATGTAAGTCGAACATAAAATCTCACTTACAAAGTAAAGAGGAAGACAAGCATATGTGGTACTGGTTCATATTACCTTGCAAACTACACACTCCTATTTAGCTATGGAAAGTGATCCTCTCCGGATCCCTTCCTCTTAGTCCACCAATCAGGAAATTCGTGCCATTAAAATTTAATCAAACAGCTGAAGTTATTATAATTTTTAAAGTAACCCCCTGTTTGTAGCCATTTGATCAAATTTCAATGGTACGAATTCCCTAATTTGGTAGATTAAGAGGAAGGGATCGGAAATGATCCCTTTCCATTTAGCTACCAATATTGTCCAATAAGGCAATAATTATGATTTAAACATTATATAAAAAGAACCCAATCGGATCCTCTCCGAATTTTTTTGGTGAGGGTCCTGAAAATCCGTAAATCGTATCTGTTTATCGTACGTCGTGCGATCAATCTTTATCATGTACTGTTTGTATTTAATTTAAAAAAATATATATATATTTAAAATGATTTTTAGCTCTGTATGATCAACAAATATGATTAATGGATCCTCGAAATCCTCACAAAGCGGATCCAACGAGAATCCGGATTCACACGTTACCAGGAATACCTGTCAATTCAGCACCACCAACCCAGTATATTGTCTCCATTATTTCCCTCTCAAGAACGTCTAGGTTCATTGTACAACAACAAAATCATGCCAAGAACACCACCAAATTTCACTAAACTCCACCATCATCTCTCCTTGAACCTCAACTTTACCCATGGGAGAGGTTGATCCGGCCTTCATCCAAGCCATCGACAGGAGGCCGAATCCCAAACCTAAAAACTCATCACTTATTGATGGAATCCCCACAATTGACCTCTCAGCTCTAAGCACCGGTCTCGAGGAGAATGACTTACGCGAAACAGATTCATCGCCAAGTGATGTCTCGGGCCATGCTAAACTGGTTTCAGAAATAGGCCATGCATGCAAAAACTGGGGGTTTTTCCAAGTTGTGAATCATGGGGTTCCACTAGAACTGGGCAGGAAGATTGAGGATGTGGCCAAGAAATTCTTTGAGCTACCAGGTGAGGAGAAGAGGAAGGTGAAGAGGGACATGGTGAATGCTTTGGGGTACCATGATGGTGAGCACACTAAGAATGTTAGAGATTGGAAGGAAGTGTTTGATTTCTTGGTGGAAGATCAGACGGCTGTCCCAGCTTCACATGAGCCAGGTGATGAGGAACTAAGGGTGTTGACTAATCAGTGGCCTCAGTACCCTCCTGAGTTCAGGTAATTTATTTGTTTTCGCTTATTTTAGGGCCCGTTTGACAATCAATTCCTTGTTTTTTCAGTTTTTAGTATCACCTTCTATAGAATGATTTGCGTAAAGTCGGCTGATTATGAATTTTCTTTGGTTTGAACTTAGAACACATTAGATTTTTTTTTTTGAATATTTAGAAATATAGCCACTCGAAGAGTGCTTGAACACCACTCCATAATGCTCGAGTCCCCTCGACTGGTTGAAGTTCTAGAAGTCTGAACTTGATTCACAGGGCTAGTTACCAATTCAGAAGTGTTACAAGATCGGATTCATGAAGATCAAACTAAATTTTCGATTAGAAATTGGCATGTGATACCTATCTAGTACCAACTCCACCAAATTTTAGCATATCTTGTTGTGGTTTATGTACAGTTTACTCCATAATGCTAATTGTTTTTCTTCACCTTGGCGTGTGGTTTATGTACTCGAATTGACTGCCTTGAGCAGAGAGGTCTGCCAAGAGTATGCTCAAGCGGTCGAAAAACTAGCATACAAGTTGCTAGGACTAATTGCTTTGAGCTTAGGCCAGCCCAAAAACAGGTTCGATGACTACTTCAAAGACCACCAAACGAGCTTGGTCAGACTCAATCACTATCCTCCATGCCCTTCCCCTCACCTAGCTCTAGGTGTTGGCCCGCACAAGGATGCTGGCGCCTTAACTGTCCTTGCCCAAGATGACGTTGGAGGACTAGAAGTTAGGCGGAAATCAGATGGAGAGTGGAGTCCAGTCACGCCCACCCCGGATGCCTTCATCATCAATGTCGGTGACATTGTTCAGGTACCACTCATGAACTATATAGTTTCGGCGAAATGACAACTTTAAATATGCATCTATGGAGCTGTAATTACGAATGAGATTGTTTTTGAAAATCACCATTTTGAACTACGAAGTTAAAGTTCTCGAGGTGTGAAACAACAGTTTCAGTGAAATGAAATCATCCCGTTATGTCTTAATCATGAATGATGTTCTTGCAAAATACCCTTTTGCACAACAAAAGAAATGAAGAAAAGGTTTTGAACTTTTAAGCGTATGAAATACTCCTAAAGACTCACCATTCCTTTCTTAGTTGGACCAACCAGATTTTCGACAAGCATTTCTGTTGGCACAAGAAGCACAACTGTAAGTGAATTTTAATCATTACAATTATACGGGATGTAATATGTGTGTTCACTCTGTGAATTGCAGGTTTGGAGCAACGACAAATATGAGAGCGTGGAGCACCGTGTGGTGGTGAATTCTGAGAAAGAGAGATTTTCAATTCCTTTCTTCTTCTTCCCAGCCCACCATGTGATGGTGAAGCCCTTGGAGGAGCTACTGAGTGATGGAAATCCTGCCAAATACAGGGAATACAACTGGGGAAAGTTTTATGCTACCAGAAACCGCAGTGATTTCAAGAAACAAGAGGTGGAGAACATCCAAATTCATCATTTCAAGTTACCGGAGTAGATATGAGATAGTATAGCATGAACGTTTGATCACCGGTAGCAACTGGCAGCGCAATATTCTTTTCGCTTCTTGTGATTACTGTGCAATGTAACCAGGTCGGAGGCTTTGGAATCTGCTTCTGTAACTGCTAATAAGTGAGTTGCATGTAAAGTCGCCTACTTTTACTTAAAGCTTCTATATCTCTCTGCAAGTCTAAGGCAGATATCTAAGTGCAATCTTCAAGGAATATCAAACCTTGAAGTAAATATACTATAACAATCACCAATTTTCTTTTAATACAAGCGACACCAAGGAGTATGAACCGAATACATGACCTGAGGTGTAGAGGTAAACTTGCTTAACAATTTGAACTACAAGCCTTTCGCATTGTAATGATCACTGTTAAGTTCATGCTAAACGTGATTAAAAACTCTCCGTCACCGAAGCCGAAGGCATACCCTTGATCGACCTCTCTCCGGTAAACTCCCCAGACTCTGTTTCCGACCCCAAAGCCATTTTTACCAGACTCCATTTCCGACCAAGGCCATCGAAAGGCTTATCGCACAAATAGGCAATGCACGCAAGGACTGCGGTTTCTTCCAAGTGATCAACCACAGGGTTCTGTTGGAGAAGCGCCAAAGGATTGAGGCTGCTGCTCGGAAGTTCTTTGCGCTGCCCTTGGAGGAGAAGAGGAAGATTAGAGGGGATGAAAAGAGTATGTTCGAGAAGTCGAAAAGCTAGGTCTATAGTTGATTGGGTTGATTGCATTGAGCCTAGGTTTGCCAGAAGTGAGGTTCCGCAGCTACTTGAAAAACCAAACCAGTTTTATCAGACTCAACCACTGTTCGCCTTGTCCTTCCCCTGAGTGGGCTATTGGCGTTGGTCGCCACAAGGATGATGGTGCTTTAACCGTGCTAGCTCGAGATGAAGTTGAAGGATTGGAGTGAAGAGAAAAACAGACGGGGAGTGGATACGAATTAAACCTACCCCAAATGCCTGTATCATCAATGTTGGTGACGTTATTCAGAAACCAATCTTCAAACTTCATACCAAGTCCTCTCGTTGAGCTTCGTTCATTCATAAAACAAATCGATATGTTTATGCAGATTTGGAGCAACGAGAGATACGGGAGCGTGGAGCACAGAGTGATGGTTAACTCGGAGAAGGAAAGGCTTTCCATTGCCTACTTCCTCAACCCAGCTCATACATTGGAAGAACTGCTTACAGCTTGGGAAATTTCATTACTCGAAGAAAGCTCACTAACTTCAAGATACTCAACACCGAAAACATCCAGATTTACCATTTCCGAGAACCGGATTAAGTTGATTCGAATGAGTTTTCCGTCATTTTAGCTTCACGTACGAAAAACGCTGTATGCATAACTTTGCAGAAAATAACACCAGCTTAATATATCATTTACCTCCTTTATGTTGCTCTGTCGAAAAAGAATCAACTTAAACAAGACCTTTTGATTAAGTCCAAAATTCTGCAATATTGTATGTTGAAAGTCAGCATCCTGCCACAAATACCATCTAATCTTTCTCAATCAAATCGTTTATTTAAAAACTTTATCTCAATCATGTCATTCTATGTCTGCATCGGGATCATGTGAAGTAAAGACAACAGGAACAATAGTAACACTACATGACGGTGTTATGGTCACAAAAATTTCCGAGGCCAGCATGAACTGTCCCAACCTTCCAAAATAACAATTGACAAAAACCTGTCCAGATTCAAGATAAAACTTCAACGAGCCATTCTTCTAGTAGCACTCTTGCAAGACAGAAAAAGAATTGAGTTACTTTCCTTCAAGAAAAAGAATTGAGTTACTTTCCTTCCAAATCAAAATCGCCATCCATGGGAGAGATTAATCCAGCTTTCATCCAAGATCCCGAGCACCGGCCAAAACTCTCCATCATCGAAGCTGATGGCATACCATTAATTGACCTGTCTCCCATAAACTCCGCAGACAACTCTTCTGACCCAAAAGCCCTTGACAAACTTGTTAGAGAGATCGGCAATGCATGCAAAGACTGGGGGTTCTTCCAAGTGATCAACCATGGAGTACAACTGGATACGCTCGGAAAGACTGAGGCTGCTGCTCGGAAGTTCTTTGATCTGCCTTCGGAGGAGAAAAGGCGGATTTGGAGGGATGAAAAAAGTGTGTTGGGTTACTACGATACTGAGCATACCAAGAACGTACGAGACTGGAAGGAGGTGTTCGATTTCACAGTGGAGGAACATATGTTAATGCCCGTTTCAGCTGATCCTGCGGACAACGAAGAGATAGAGTGGACTAACCAATGGCCTGAGCAACTTCCAGAACTAAGGTAACTCAATGATTAGTTGATTACTAAGAGGAGAGTGAACATAATTACTTTAGACACAAATTTGGATTTTGACTCGTACGATCTAATACCAGGGTGTTGTGTGATGAATACGCTCGAGAAGTAGAAAAACTAGCTCTCAAGTTGTTGGGACTTATTGCCTTGAGCCTAGGCTTGCCAGAAAACAGGTTCAACAGCTACTTCAAAGACCAGACAAGTTTTATCAGGCTCAATCACTATCCACCTTGCCCTTCCCCTCAGTTAGCTCTTGGTGTTGGTCGCCACAAGGACAGCGGTGCTCTAACCGTGCTGTCTCAGGATGATGTCGGAGGACTGGAGGTGAAGAGAAAAGCAGACGGAGAGTGGATTCCGGTTAAACCCACCTCAAATGCCTATATCATCAATGTTGGTGACATTCTTCAGGTTCCCCTCTACAAACTTAATACTAAGTACTTGTGTGCAGATTATTTTTGAAATTTACAAGTAGCCAAACTTGTTTCCCACTTCTAACTACCTAAGGACCAAAGGACATGCACACAAACGTAGAACCGCGAGCGTTATCGATATGTCTTTATGCAGGTTTGGAGCAATGATAGATATGAGAGTGTAGAACACAGAGCGGTGGTGAATACGGAGAAGGAAAGGTTTTCCATTCCGTTCTTCGTCAACCCCGCACACTACACCGTGGTCATGCCCATGGAGGAGCTGACAGATGAACAGAACCCGGCGAAATACAAGCCGTACAACTGGGGCAAGTTCTTGAGTCACCGAAAGCTGACTAATTTCAAGAAACACAGTGCTGAAAACATCCAGGTTTCTCATTTCAGGGTAGAAGAATAGCACCAAGTAGTTAATAGTATTATTTTCAGATGAGCAATATCTGTGTAATTTTGCATCAAAACTAGAAGCATTTTTCCGAACAACGCTTTTAGAACGCAAAAATAAGTCGATCATCGTCGTGGTTTACATGGACTTCTTGGTTAGACGGTTCAAACTTCTACATTTACCGATTGCATCGTAAATTACAATTGTAAACCTTCACTTACTAGTTAAAAAACAGTACCAGACAAATTTTGCAGGCATTTAGTAACATCACAAGATTCCAAACATTGGGAAACATACAAAAGGCTTTGTAATCAGTCAATGAAAAAAGGACGAAAAGCTATGCATGTCATAGGCTGGCTTGTTAGTGATGACTCAGACCCAGCATTATTGGACTAGTGCGTGCTAGTCGAACACAACAACAGCCACACTAAGGTTTGTGGTAGCAATTCTCACATCTTATCCGTTCCTCGTGTGGTCAGAAATTATTTTGAATTTTTTTATTCAAATTAAACACAAAAAGTATCTAACGATTTTTTACCGCACGATAAACGAATAGGATGTAAAAAGTAAGGATCCGGAGAGGATCCTCATCCAAGCAACACAAACCAAAACCTAAAAGCTACTTTCTAGGTTTTGATGTTTTCCAGATGGATGCTTTTCTGATAGATGGCTACCATGGTAGAACTCAATCAAACGTCCCAACAACAAGGCCATCAAATGAAAATAAATACTACGAACATGTTGAATTAGCTAAAGCTGTTACGTCAAGGAAATGGATTGCTCGTGTGTTAGTCTTCCAAGAAAGATGAAAAATTACATATTATATATAACAATATATATAATTTATTTAAATATAAACAAACCAAGTCCTATTTGGATCAGATCAAAGATGATGTACAAATTTTTTATCATAGGGGGCGATTAATCAGCCAAAACACAGAGAAAAAAAACCAAAGAATATCTCGAAGACAACTAAAAACGATCCTCAACTGAAAACGACACAACAGAACGTGTTCAATATTTTGGTTCTGCCCACCCAAGAACTTTTGCAAAGGGTGTAATGATGCGTAAAAGTGCATGGCATCAGCTTCCATGCGCTCAAGAACCCTAAACCCTCCTCAACTAGAAACGGCACTACAGAACGTCTTCAATATTTTTGTCCCTTGCACTCCAGATCCTTTTGAAAAAGAGAACTTTAACAAAAAGTTTATATTACTGTTCACTTTAACGAAAAATCACATTTTTACACTAAAAAGTCAATCCTGCTACTATTTACTTTATCTTTTATTTTGTCTTCATAGTTAAAACTCAAAGTTTTCAAACTCTTTTCATTAAATTTTCTTTTGAGAAAAGTGTAATGATCTGCAAGGTATAGCTTCTGTGCTCTCATGGACCCTAAACTCTAACCCCTACTAGGCCCTTAACTAGAAACAGCACAACAGAACGTCTTCAATCTTTTTAGTTCTTTGCACTCAGGAATCCTTCTTTTTCTCGTCTAAAATCCACAGCTCTATTTCCTTTTTTTTTTCCCTTCAACTACAGAGGACAGTAAGTATACAAGTTACTGTTTCGCTCGTACGTAACTTAATTGCAGTTCACAAAACAGTCTCAAACATAAATAATATAACATACATCATCAATTTTATTGTAGAACTGGAAAAGCTTTGGAGTAATATTATCTGCAAGGCTATTCATGGTAAATGAAAACGATAGCACAAGTTATATCATACGCAATCAAACAAACGTTACAAAGAACGTGTGCATCTATTGAGAATGAACCTTAAACGCTAATTAGAATCCACAAAAACATCTGCCCATTTATAAATTGAAAGCCCAGTTTCCCTCATTCCTCCCCACAATCTAATCTAGTAAATTGAACAAGTGATTATATTCTACTAAGTCCGATCCAAAAAAGATGAAACACTGAAGAGAATGGATTGTAAAAAGTCTACCATGCATCTTCAAACTGCATTATGATACTCATCAATTGTTTCTTTCATTCGATCCAATTGTGACATGACATACTCGAGCTTCTTGCAACAGATCTCATTAGCTATTCTTGAACTGTAATCACACTTCTCAAATGGACGGTAATCGCATGCACTTTTAATCTCATCCCGTAGTGCCACTTGAATATCCTGATGCACAAAAGAAAAATAATCCAAATTCCTCATCCTCGATTCACAAAACAGTTGAGCCAAAATAAGAAAGTGTAAGTACATAATCCACTCTTGCAACCAACCTACTCAACCAGACCTAAAATTTCTCACATTTTGCACCAAAAAACTATTCCCATACCAAAATAAAATTAGGCAACTTTGTTGATTCTTCGACGAAGTTTCCGAATTCTTTAGATACTACTCTTATTGACTAGATTCCGATTATTCATCCAAACTTCAAAAAGCATTTCAAGCAACTCGATCAAAGAGTACCTAATTCAATTCATAGTAAAAAAACCAGAACCTTCTAGACCCCAAAAACCCTAGTCCCAAAATTTCCCCCTCCTAACATTTGTAAGTTCCAAATTTGCAATCTACTTCCTGGCAGGATTTAATTCATGGGTCCAATTAAAGTTCCCAAATTCCATGAAAACTCCTTGCTTACACAAATTTTAAGTTATATATAAACATATATGCATATACACACACAGAAGCAGACGATACCCCCTAGCTGCTACTACTCTGAGCTTGTAAAAAACAGACCTTGATCAATTGCATGAACTCGCGGCAATGGTTGTTGATGAACTCCTTTCTGGGACCACTAGGGTTTGCAAGCTCGTCCATGACGCCTCCTGCTAGCTCCAAAACCTTAACGATTCTCTGTGCAATCAACCAAAAATTAAATAAAAATTCAAATTCTTGTCGGTATCAAAACTCCTATGTGGAATTGGAATTGAGTAGTTGACTGCTTACATTCTCCACATTTTGGAGTCTCTGCAACGAGGTGTTTTGGGTCTGCGAATCCATGGAGTTTGTTTGAATTTTTGCTTTAGAGAGTTTTTTTCAGATGAGAAAATGAGAGAAAGGAGATAGTGTGATAGGTTTTAGTGGCCCTATAATTTTACAATCACGAGGCCTGCTTCATGTGCCACTTTGTTGCACCACTGATCTTGAGGATTGGTATCTAGATTTCACCTGGAGAATGAGAACCTACTCAAAAATGAATTTCAAATATTTTTAATTTTCTCCATCTTAACACAACTATTTGCTTGGAACAAAGTCGAATAGTTAGAGATCATATATTACACTTTCTTCCTATTCTTCGTTGTTTCATAATGTGTTACATATCAAAAAGTCACACAATCTTTTTAGCAAAAAAAAAGTCACATAATTGTTGCTTACCTCCATACAATTCACATGTCTCACATAACTGTTGTTTACCTCCATACAATTCACATGTCTCAATTCTCAGACTCTTAATGTTATAGCATACATACTATTCTTCTTCTTCTTCTTTGTCATAAAATGCCAAAAGCACTTGCATTAATTAAATCAATACTTATATGAAAAACAACATGACAACAAAAATTGAGTTGAAAAAAACCCCATTGTCATATGTTTTATTATTTTGCTGATGCGATGTGCTCAAAATAAATGGTTAGATTGGGCCAAGAGCTAGGTTTTTCATGTATATACCAGATAAGCAAACCAATCAACAAAAACCCAGAAAAGCCTCACAAATGTAATTATATGAATGCAAGAGGACTCGGCATCTTACTTGATAAATATCAGACTTGTGTCTATGATCATGATGAACTCTTTGGGATACAAAGAATCACTCTTTTTTCTTTATATACAACTTAGGCTAGGAAACACTAAAACACAACCCCTAAATCCAACTGAATAAGATGTAAAACTAGTTTGAATATAGTTTTCTAAATTCAGATTAAAAAGAATCTACTTGTTTGGAGCAGATGAAATTGCAATCCCCAGGAGCATGTCTTGGTAAAATGCAAAATTTCATCAAAATGATGCTATCCAGATTGCTCAACACTGCTCAAATAAAATGACATCAAAAGAAGAATTCTTCAAAACCCAGAAATTTAAACGTGTAATTCGACAAAACCATGAAAAATTTACTAAAACCCAATTATATTAAATCATAAATTTGAAGAAGATTTTGACATGAATAGGTATAGAAAGTACTTGAGATGATGAGGAATTGTTTGAGACCAACCTCAATGCAGGGCGCCGCCGTAGTTGTCGGATTCAGGTTGGAAACTTTTTTTTGAGATTTTGAGATTCAGGTTGGAACGATGTCGAGTGTGATCAGGAAGGCTGAAGTGAGGGAGGAACTGGAACAATTTGAGTAAGAAGTGAAGTTCTCCTGAAATTTGGAGCAGGAGATTTTGATTCCAGTCCAAGCCAACCGGGAAGGAAGAAGTGAGGAAGGAGTGTGATCCCACGTGTCAAAGGAAGGCGGCAGAATTGTAATAATAGAGATTTGGCAGTGTCAAAAACAGAACATTGTTCAATGCACAGTGTTTTAGGCTAGTTTGAGCTTTAGTTATATATAACAAGCAACTTAGCCCGCGTGATGCTGCAAGTTTAAAAACTGTGTTAAATGTATAAAATATAATCAAATATATTTACATTTATATCAAAATCTAGTTGCATCTTTATGGTCAATAAGAAACAAAGATTTGTGTTTGTACAATATATTACAATACTCTGAGGCTCATGCCTTTAGTTCTTGTGCATTCATAGATTCTCAGCATATCAACAATTTGTTCTTTATCAATGTTCAAGGGAGAAGGCAAATAGAGGATAAAAATTAACTGGGTCAGCAACATGTAACTGAAATGTAGTTAAGTATATTTAATTTAAAACAGAGAAATTAGAAGATATGTAAATGATGTTGAAAGTAAAAATAATAATAATACTTTAAACGAACCACATGAACTGAACTGGAAAACTTTAAGTTTACAGAAAATTTCAACTCAATGGTTTTAACATAATAAACCAGCCTACAGAACATCAGCTTTTGTATTTCTGTGGACTTATATGAAGAAGAACCAACATATGCCATTGCTATATATTTATTTGAAAGATGAAATTGAAACACTCGAGCTCACTAACTCTACTTAGTCTCATGATGTAATTGCTATATACTTACATGAAGAAGAGGCAAATTGAGTAAAATCAAATTTTTAGTTGTTGGAGATTTGAAATGATTTGTTAACACTGTTCATTGAACTATCTACCAAGTTAAGCGAAACCCTTTTTGGGTGCATCATATAATGCTTCTTCTGGGAACCACACAAACCAAACAACATATACTATCCTTGCTCTCTCAAACAATAGATCAGCTTCAGTTTGAATGAACAAAGAAAGTTACGCACATTCAATTGGGACTCGCCCAATTGAATAACAAAATTGCTAGTAGTCTACATTAACCTCGCAACTAAACTTACTTCGATATTCCTGACAATGAATTTCCACTTCCTGAGTAATTAAAGATTACACTTAATCAAAAGTAGTTCAATGTCATATTTAACTAAGCTTTGCAATTCTTGTGATCTCATTTAAATTCGTGTATTGTTTGCGTCTGATGACCAGTCTGTCAGGTTGAATGAGAATCCACATAATTTCATTAGTTTACACTTTCTGATGTCATTTATCAAATCACTTCCTAGGCTACACGTCAAAGCTGTCAAGCACATGACTTCGTACATGTATGGTCTTTCCCCTATAACTGCAACAACCTACTGATTCAGTGGTTATTGATAAATGTACTTCATCCATTCCAAATTGGGGTTGTCCATATTAATAGGCATTGTTCCACGAAAAAAATGTATGCTGAGCATACCACTTCAAGTATAAACGACACTTAATGACTCACCAAATATGAACCATAAAATTCAGAGACTACTTGCTACTTCAAGTATAGTTAGCATGCAATGTGATCAAACCTCATATAAAACCAATTTTAACTCCCCATCTTGTCTCAAACCTAAGACTCCAAGTTTAACCAAGCAACATCCTGTCTCAAATATTTCAAATTCTGATAGGCAGTGTTATACTAAAAAGCACCGGCGCACCCCAAAATTGCAATTACATTCGATTCTTTTTACAAAATTCCTACATGCAGAGCTTTCCACACCATAAAATGACCAAACGCATCATTTTTAACACAATTCTGGCATAATGTCATATGAAATAAACCCAACTGGAATGCAGAAATGACCACAACCATGTAGATAGCCAAATATTGCCTAAAATGCAATCATTTCAATTCCACATTCTAAACAAAACCCTTAAAATGCATTATTTTCCACACCACCAAAAGATCAAGCACAAAACCATGCACACGAATCCTTTTGAGCAGTTATGTAGTAAACACTATGAGAAAATTGCAAATTGGCTGGCGGCAAACTGGACACGCCTGCTATAAAAAAATTGTGAACGACATATATAATAGGAAGGAACAAAAGCAAGTCTTTTTGCTAATGCATCTCACCATGTGTCCACAGCCAAAGGCTAGGTACTCTCCATTAATAAGCAAATTTAACAGAACATCATTCAAATTGAAACAAGGGAAATAAAAATCAGTAATTTTAATTTTTTTATGGATAGTAATGGTAATGGTGGAGATCAAGCTCCCCGCCGATCAAGCTCCCTAAAAACAGATCTTTTCCCTTTCAACAACTTTTCACTTTTCCCAGTATTTCAGTAGAGAGGTTGATGGAAAACAACTGATAAAATCAAAAACCAATTACCAAATTCAATCAACTGCACACAAAACAAAAACCCACTACCAAATTCAGAAATTTAATCGACAAACTGTACAAAACCTACAAAAGGTTACTAAATTCCAGAGAAAATCACACCAAAAAAAAAACCCAGAATTTTAACGAATAATTCTCCGAAACCCAGAAACTTAAACAAAAAATTCTACAAAATGATGAAAAATTTACTAAAACCCAATTATATTTAATCACAAATTTGAATCAGATATTTATACGCAATAGGTCTAGAAGGTACCTGAGGTTCTGAGCAATCATTTGAGACCAACCTCGACGCCGGCCTTCTCTAGAATCCAAGCAAAAACGTCGGAAAAAATTAAGTATTTATAGAGATACAACAAATCGTACATGCAAGGCATAAATCTTGACCTAGAGAATGAGACTGAGCTTGAACTTCAGTTTGTGAGGTCGAAAGGATGAGATGGTGGTGGCTTTGGGTGTTTCCGGGTTCCTGGGTGTGTGGGGGTCTGAATCGTGATGTCGAGAGAAAGAGGGGTAGAACGACGCTCAGCAGCGAGACTAGAGAAGAAGATAAAAATGGTAAAGAGAGGGCGTTTTCTGGTTTTAGAGAGAGAGGAGGCAGGAGAAGATAAAAGGCTGGCTTGGTGCTGCTGTGTTTGAGCTGTGAAATAATGCAGGATGTTTGGTAAATTCATTTATAAAAATGCTTTTGAAAAAAAAAAAAAAAGTAGTATTATAGTGTTTGGTAAACTTTTATGTAAAATAGATGTGAAAAAAATTGGTTTTTCAAAATTAGGTTTTGTAGCTTCTTGTTGTTTTTGGCTTTTTTTACCCAAAACTGTGAAAAAAAAACTGAAGCTGAATTTTTACCAAATACAAAAACAGCTCCCAGCTTTTTTTAGAATCACATCAATACCAAATTAGGCCTAAGTAATTTTGGTATTGAGGTGTCTATCAAAAAAAAAAAAAAACTCAGCTCAAAAAGATGTTTGATAAACACTTAAAAATAGCTTATTTTCACAATTTTGAATGAAAAAAAAACTAAAAACATAAAGCAGCAAAAATGAGCTTATTCTCACAACATAGCAGAATCAGTTTTTGTTTCCAAAGCACAGCAATACCAAACCAACTCTAAGTACTGGTTTGGTACTGCGGTGCTTTTATAAAAAGTGTATATAAAAAAAATTGAACTCAAAAAGGTGTTTGGTAAACACTTAAAAATAGCTTATTTTCACAGTTTTAGGTAAAAAAACTGAAAACATGAAGCAACAAAAATGAGTTTATTCTCACAGCACAATAGAAACAGTTTTTTTTTCAAAGTACAGCAATACCAAACCAGCAACCCAAGAGGCAATGCATAGGCGTAATAACATAAACTAAGCAAGGCCATAAAAGGAAGAACATTGTCCTTATGAACGGTGTTTCAGTTTATTTTGAATTTTTAGTAATATTAAATTTCACATGAACATGTTCCCGATATTTTTTTTAAGAGAAAAGATGATATTCATTAATAAATAAGAATGTACAACTAGGAGGGTAGAATGCATAATGAATCTCGATAAAAATCCTGATGGAGATTTCAACCCAGTTGAAGAAAAAAAAAAGTGTCCCGCTCAAGCAAGAAAACTATCCTCCAAAAATACAATTACAAGACCCCTTGATAAAAACCTTATTGGACATTTCACATGAACTTGTCCCCAAATTTAAATACGTCACGTCGATCCAAAACTAAAAATAAAACTTTGTCACTAGTTATCAGCTAAAAAAATTAAGCAATGTCATTGGTTTTGAAAAAGCAAATAATACTTATACACTCATGTGTAATCATGTCGATTTTTTTTGCAATGTATTCTTCTAATGGTTACAAATAAAAAGGAATGCATGTGAGGTTAAAAATAGTATGAAAATCAACTCTCTTTTATAGTATCAAAAGAGCGATTTTGTGCTAATTTATTTTGCAAACCTAAGCTTAGAGATGGGTTCAATTTCAATTGGTTCGGTTTTTTACGAATTGAGTTCTCTTGTGCTGGACTCTTTTCTCCCTTAAAAAAAATAAATAAATAAAAGAAATTCTGAAATTGGGGGTTGTTTGATCAAGACGAAATTCTAATATAGGGATAGCATCACTGGTCCAAGCAATGGTATCCAAAGAGGCAAGAGGTCTTCCGCCAGCAGTTCGGAAATTACTATTTAGGTCTAGTTCCAGAACAGAAGCTAAACCAAAGTTGGATCTTGAAATGCAAGTTCATGGTTTTGAATCTTTTGATTATTAACGTTTTGGGTAATGGTAGAGGGACCAAACTTTTAAATCAAATTTTGTAAATCAAATAGTGTAAATGTTAATGATTGAATTATTACTTAAGTATTGATTACCTTGCATATTTTTCATCGAATGGTGACACATCATTTGGTTTACAAATTTGATTTCTCTAACATTATCCATATGCTCTTACTCAATTGGAAATACTTATTATAATGCTCTGGATTTTGATTGCATGGGGTTTGGTTTCCGTATCTGCGCTAAGTTAGTTGTTCAAAAATCTTAATGACATTGCATTTAATTTGTTTCCTGAGAAAGGAAATTAATGTTTGTGGCTTGGTTTTTACATGGGGTGTGATATCTACACCCTTTTTTTTACTTCTCACACACTTTCTAATTTTCGACTATTGGATCGGATGAATTAAAAAAGATCAAATAACAAGAAGTAACAAGGAGTGTGTGAAAACTCTCTTTACATATGTATGCACAAGCAGGGGAAAGAGGCTTAGGGAGAAATTTGGCTTTGGGCCTAAAATTGTTAATGGTTTTATTTGAAATTGAGTTTGAAAAATAAATATATAACATAAATAAATAATATATATATATATATATATGTATATAAAATTCATTTCTGTATAGTTTTCCAACCACTGAAACTGAAACTGAACCAAAAGATTTTGGTTTTGTTCGATTTTTTAATTCAGTTTGATTTATTTTTTGGTTCGGTTTATTCATCTTTGCCTCAGTTTTCGGTTTTTCAAACCCACTCCTACCTAGGTTTAGCCAAATTGGTTAAAGTAGTGTGTTCTCTTTTTGTATAAAAATATATCAAAAATATGAAGAGAATCCTTAGGGAAAGCATTTTGTTTCCACCTAGCTAAAACAATGTCAGTAGGGAGGCTCGCACAACGGACTATTACATCAATATCATCTATAAAGAATAATACTCGCATCCCTCTCTATGGGGGAATGCACATATCTCAACTTCTGATGAATAACGTATATTCACCATATAAATTTCATATCGGAATAATGAATATGCCTGCACGAAGCTCCTTGTCTAACCCAAATTCTCTTTACTTTTTGAACTCAATAGTATAAATATTCAAACAATGAATATGCTTTCCAATCAAATTGGTGGTGACAAAACCAAAAACACAAACACATACGGATGAAAGAAAGCAAAATTTGATCACATTAGTCTCTACTTTCCTTATCGTTCTTCTTCTCTGTGTAGCAAATGAAATCGAGTATGTCTACCAACCTTAGTAAGAAGCACTTTGTGTTGGTTCATGGCTCATGCTTTGGTGCTTGGTCATGGTACAAGATTGTAACCCTATTCAGGTTAGAGGTAGGCACAGTGCGGTTCGGTGCGGTTCCACTCCTAAGCCAGAACCAGAACCTTAAAATATCAACAGTTCGATGCGGTGCAGTTCTGCTTAAATTTATCACTACAACCGTACGATTCGGTCTACACCAGTTCTAATTCGGTTCTTGCCGGTTACGGTTCCAAATACTAAATTATTTGAACACCAAATCATCATGCATTCAAATACATGTAACATCTTCTAAAACTGTTTATACAAAGTTGCATACAACACATATCATTTTTAATGCAAATGTTTTTGGTCAATGGCACCAAGTCAACAAGCAGCAAAAACAAAAACCAAACAAGAAGCAAGCAGCTCCTGATATTGATAGCAACAAGCAGCAGCTCCTGATATTGGCAGCAACAAGCAGAAAAAAAAAAATCCAAATGTCCTTGGCAGTGGCAGATTCTTTTTCAAACAGCAACTCCTGTACACAATCAAACAACATATAATCAAATCAAACTTACTTTAGACAACATATAATTACTTACAAACCTGTGCTAAGAGCAATTGGTAAACAAAGTTTTTGAGCACCATGTAATTTGTATTCATTACACTAGCTATACAAAACATGATCTCAAACAATTTAACTATCCCATATGATTTCCTTCATGTATCAGTTAATTATATATCTTATTCATTGAACTCAAAATTATATATCTTACAACTTAGATTGGCTCATCATCCCTAAACTAGACAAAAAAAACAAAACCCAAAACACAAAGTTTGTCATTCACATACATATTGACATTGACCCACAAATTGATCCACAAGTAGCATCAATTTGAAATCCACATAAGCAAAGCCGTATAAAACTTGAATACAAAACTTAGAGCAGATTCTAACAATAAAACAAAAGAATAACACTCATATAGCAAATGAAGAAAGATCAGTTGAGAAGTCACACAACTCGGTACAGGGGAGCCTCCAAATGATCTGAGTAACAGCCTCCAAATGATCTGACTGCATCAAGTAACCCACACAAAAAATATCTCAGATACCCGAGTCGAACAATTGCATAACAAGTTACAAATCACTAAACAAAATACCAACAAATCCAACTCACAATTTTTCTCCTTCTACTCGTGTGACTGATAATATCTGTTTGTGATTAACAGGCTGGATATGGATATCCATGATTATCTAGTGGAGGGGTACAAAAATCTTTGAGTAATGGAAATTATCTTTCTTATTACTTTTTAAATGAGTTTTTTTTCACTTTGCTAAACTTGCATTTTGATTTTTCTTTTGGCTATAAGTTTCATTCTCATGTATTATTAATGGTTTTGAGAAAGGAGTTTTACAGCTAATGATGCGCCATGAGGTTTCCCATTTGAATGTTGGTCGGTTTTCTGGGATATGTTCATTACTAGGACTAATGAGAAGCATTCAGAGGTTGTGGCATCTTGCATTGAGAATGGAAAACCAGTGGAACTCAACCATATTCCTAATCTCAAATATGAGAAAAGATAGAGAAAATACCAAGGACGGAGGACGAAGAGATGAAAAGTCGTGAGCTGTCCTGGAGGAGGGATGATGAGGGCCGTCGCAGAAAGTGGAGGTTATGGCTGCTTATGATCGCTGATATTTTGGATAAGAGGTTGTGAATGACTCAATGAGGGTTAGCTGTGTGAAATAGGGGAACGAGGTGTGAGGGTGAGGCCGTGTGAGTGAGGTGAGGGTGAGGTGAGTGAGAGTAAAACCTAATTAGGATGGGATCCTATGCTTGGCAACTTGGTGAAACTATTTTTTCAACCTATTATACCATGACATGTGTGTATATATATAATTTATTTATTTATTATTAATAAAACGGTTCGATTCTGTTCCGACCGGTTCTTGTTCATTCGAAACTGGAACCGGAACCTGTTTGAACGGTCCGGTTCGGTTTTTGACTCAAAGTTGACTTTTTGGTCAACACGGTTCTTTTTTATTTTTTTGTCATACGGTTCGATGCGGTTTTGCAGTTTTTATGCCCACCC